TAGTTTGGGGGTAGTCCTGAAGTAGGGCCTGACATTCCTAATTTCTAACCTAAATAATGCAGATGCTTTTGGTACCTGGAACCTACATGGAGAAGCAAGGCTGAAAGCATTGTTGCAAGAACAGATCCCCTTGTTCTGGATTTTTAAATAAGATGAACAGTTTGTGACATTTAAAATGAATGCCAAGGTCCATTAGTGACAGTATTTACATTTTTTATATTGTTAATCAAAAAACACAATGTGGTATCCGCTTTGTAACCAAGTCACACTTTCAAATGTATCTGCATTTTATTTTTTCCAAGCAGCAAAGCGGTACATACATACATGCATGCAACATGGTGCTTCCAGTCTGCCTGGGATGCGCTGTAAGTGCTCTTGAGCAGTGACCCTCACAGGGGGGTCTGTGCAGCCCTAGGGATCCTGAGACAAGACAAGCCCAGGAAGTCAAGATTATTTTCATTATAAACTAAGATGACTTTATCACAAAAGTAGTTTTTTAAAAACTAAGACATTGTGCACATTTTTCATCGTGCTGACATTTGCACAGTGGTGCAAGAGAAATAACTCCTCAGTGTGAGTTGGGAAGTGGCTGTGATTGTGCTTGACCATCATGTATACGCAGTAAAAATAACACTGGTTTCACTGAACAATGCCCATAATGAAGCAATTCAAGGGACATCTTGTTAAATCTTGACTTCAGTGCATGTCTTTTCAATGCCTGGTGTGATGAGATGGGAGGTGTGTACATAGCACTTTTTTTGAATAATGAGATGCAATGCTCGTCTTGAGGAAATGCACATGTGCTGTTTGGTTTGTGAGTAAAGCCGGCTGCTGTTTGCACAGAACACTACTTCAGAGAATGAGACTGATTTTTCTCATTTGGGCGTGTGGCAGACATTTTCTTGAGAATGACTGAAGTGAATCTGTCACGTCAAGGTAACAACTGACAGACAGTACTCATTGCCATGACAAAACTTGGGCTTGCCAAGAAAATCACATTTTGGAAAAAGTATATCTTCCTCTCTGAGTTTGACAGCTTAGTTGTATTTAATACTTTTCTGATGAGAAGGGTAGTGATATTTAAAAATGTGATTTTTGGATGCTGTATAATGAAATCTTTCAGCAGGGGGAGGTAGGAAGGGTACCCCCAGCCAGTGTTTCTCTGGCGGCCAGTGCACTGTGTTAGGGAATCTAACGTGGCAAAGCTCTTTCACAAGCAAGGAAGACCAATGGGTTTTAATGTAGCAGAATATGGAAAAGGTCACTTGCACAGTTCTGGATTCCGCATTATAACTAATAATGGTAATTTTTTTTAAGTACCATTTGCCAAGAGATTAGGGCAAGTATCCAAAATGCTAGTCTGCAGTTGCAGTATGCCGTTAGTTGCACTTTGAATTTGATGACAAATTCATAGAATAAAATTACCAGTTCTGATACCGCTTCTCTGCTCTTTACTACATTCTTTTCTTTGAAGTGTGTCTTGACTTAGTAAAATGTTGTAGTTTTCAAAGCAGTCTTGCATATATGTAAATATGAATATATATAATTTAAACTATTTTGTAATATATGTTCATATAATTATATATATAATCATAAAATGTCTAGTACTTGGTTATCTGCTCATATAATTATACTTAGTTTAATTTTCATTCACTGTAAATTTACTTGTAAATGAGTGTTTTTTTGTTTATTACAATCACAGTTATATAGATGGTTTCTGTAAAAATCATAAATATACATTTGAACATGTGATGAAAAATGAGCAGTTTCTGAGAATTATTTTAATACTAAGTCAGTATTCCCATATGTTGCTCAATGAGTTAGCTATATAGTTTTAGAAACTAAAACTATTCAAGTATTTGTTATTGCTGTTGTTAAATTTAGGGAGTCAAATACAAAATATGAATTGATTTTTAAAAAGGTCTCAAAAATACTGATTTTCTTTTCAGTATATCTTTAGACCTAGGTATTTTAGAATAACATTAAAATGCCAGCACAAATTTGTCAGTCAGAATGTCTGAAAAAAAATAACTTATGAGTTACTTAACCGCTTTGAATATGAGTTAAGTGTAACAACATCGAGATATAATTAAGTTTTAATTTTTTGAATATTATCACCATCTAAATAATTACAGATGAATTGGCAGAAAGCCTAAGGATTTGGATCCGTGATTGTTCAGGCAAATGGATTGCAGTTCTGTGTAGTCTGCTTTGTGGTCACAAAAGTCCGTGACATGCCCACTAATTTAAGAAGGGATGCGTCATGCCCTCTCTGTTTTACTCTGGAACGGGGGTCAGCAAGTTTTTTTTTGTAAAAAGTCAGTAAGGAAATATATTTGGCTTGTGGGCAATACAATCTGTGTTCCAACTGTTTTGTTGCAGTACAAAAACAACCAAATGCAAGAAGTAAACGAGTGTGTGAAGCTGTGTTTTAGTACAACTTAGTGACCGATGTGGCCCAGCGGCTTCCAGTTTCGCAGCTCAAATCTTGAAAGATGGTACCGCTTGTCCTTGGGTTCCAGGCACAAACACGGAGGAAGTACTGGCCCTAATGTCGCCACTGCCATGCTTACGGTTCTTCCTGTCTTAGGAGGTGAGCTGCCCCCGTGCACACAGTGTAGGAATCAGTCATCTCAGGGTCAAGCCGAGGATTTCAGTGCATCAGGAGTGGTAAGTGTGATGGGCAGATGCAGTCAGACGCTGTGTCTTGAGCAGAGGCCCTGGCAAGGGAAACTGTGAAGCCACAGTCTGTGAGGGGTCACAAGCTGAGTTTTGAATGGCAAGTGCGTTTTGTTTGTTTTGAAATAGGATTTAAAAATCATCCAAGTAGCAGGGCATTAATACTTGTCTGTTACTTCCAAAGTAGTAAATTCATGCTTATGATGCACAGCTGAGTACACCTTTACCTGTGTGCCTGGGTGACTTTGTGCGACCCCCCCTGGTGTCAGTGTCCGGAGGGCAGTCCCCACGTTTGCCAGTTAAACCTCCTCCTGAGTTCATCCTGACCTCAGGTGATGCTTCAGGGTCCCCTACATGCGCCCTTTCTCTGCTCGGCTTCTCAACCAGTTGAGCCAAGAACAGTGAACAGCAGATGGGTCCTGTGTGGGTGACAGGTCCTCGTTCAGGCGCTCACACCTTGAGGCGGTCTCACAAAGGCCCCCACAGCGCCCATGCTGTTCACTCGGTAGAAGTGACCTATCGTTACTAACAAACTGCAATTTAAAAACAAAACATGACTATATAGTCTATTTCACAGGTTTTTTATTAATTTATATACATGATAATATTTAAAATAAGAAAACAACAGCCCATTTAGGCTCTGAACTGTGTTGTAGGTCCATTTAATTCCACTTGACCAGAACCATAATGGAATCCTGGGTCTGTTCCTCTTCAGTACAAACCGATGGCTTTTTCTCCCTCAAATTGTTTACTGTGATACTGTAATAGCTTTAAAGTTCCACTTAGTCTTTAATTACCATTATCTTATTCACAATAACACTTAAAATGAAAATTAAAACCCATAAATACATTCTCGTGCTCTCTTAATGGGAAATTCAACTCTATTTGTTTATAATTATAAGGGAATGCTGGATTTATTCATATACACATTTGTTATGGTACTGAAATGGCTTAAATTGTTTAATTTTGTAAGCTATGGCAGAGGAAGAGCCCTTTGTATCATCTATTACAAACTTTTTGTGCTGGATGGGTTCTTTCGGCCCCATTTGATTTGCACCCACCCCCCTGCATCCCTTCTGTGGTGACAGCAGGGGGGCACGGGGACCCCATCAGCTGTAAACCGCTCATGCAGGGCCAGAGGACAGGGTGAGAGGGAACCGGTGGTGCTTCGCCTCTGTGGGTGTCCCTGGGTGATCTTAACCCTCTACCTGAGGTCACAGCTAGTGGTGGGTAGCCTGTCCTTCTCCAAGGCCGAGGCGGGGTTCCCTGTGCTCTGTCCTGTGGGCCTGGGGAGAGGTCACTGCTCCCACTTTCTCTGACCTCAGGAGGCCGCCCTATGCTGTGTGGTTTCCTACACCCACCACAACTTTGTAAATAATCTTTTCGTTAGGTCTCCTCAGATTATCTCAATTTGAATGAAACTCACTTTTTTCTTCTCTGGACATTGATGACACACTCTATGAATAATAAGAAGAAAAAGGTTTTGAGAATAGGACATACTCACCTTTTACTGAGCAGCTTAGAGGCAGCTAGGGACCTAGAAGTGAGCTCTCCTCTCTCTCTCTCTCTCTCTCTCTCTCTCTCACTTAGCAGAACAGAGCGCACAAATGCCTGCTATCACAGCATTTTACTAATACTTTTAGTAAATAATAGTAATATCATAATTTTGGTAAAGAGAATTGAGATGGAATCAAAGGGATTTGTTTTATTCCCTTATACCAGAATTGTTCATTTGAGCCAAGAATATTCAGTTCTTCAGATTTGGATTCTTAAGTGTGGGCCTTTACTGTACCCAAGCTTCTTCAGATACCAACATTTTATGCCCATTTTGAAGGACTGTATATTCTTTGGCTCAGATGAAGAAGAAATAACTACATAAAATTAAAATTTCCTTTTTTATATTTGAAAACCCCATTAACTTATAACAATCATTTTGGTTTTAGTTAGGAGACATCAGGTACTTTTGGAAATTTGTGAATTTCCTGAGGCTACTCTAAATTATACAACTTAAATACAATTCTGTATTTTATAGCTGCAGAGACATATGCAGTTAAAAAATGACAGTTTTGTGTGCTGAAATATTAAATGCAAATTTATAAAATGGCTTTGTTACTGTTTTAAACAAACTCTACTTTGAAAAAAATCCCTCTATTTTCATATACATTGGTAAAAATCCAGAGGCAGAGACATTCTTACAAAGTTTCTCTTAATCTCAATCAAAAGGAAAATTTTAACTAGGAAACCTATAGATACTCATAATGAGCTGGAAAGTGTTTCCAAAACAGATTTAAAAATTCTTATACTTGAGTCAGTAATTCCTTTAAAACATGTTTAATACATTAACAATAATCATTTTCGTTTATGCCGGCCGTTACAGCAAGTGCCAGGTCACAGCTGTGGTTTAGCTCCCTCAGCAGTGGTGTTGAGCATCTTTTCATGTACTTGTTGGCCATGTAGATGTCTTCTTTGAAAAAACATCTGTTCACTTCGTCTGACCATTTTTCAGTCAGATTGCTTGTTTGGTACTGAGTTGTATAAGTTCTTTATGCATTTTGGATGTTGACCCCTGTCCAGTGTATGGTTTGCAAATACTTCCTCCCATCCCTGGGCTGCCTTTCGTTTTGCCGGTGGCGTCCTCTGCTGTGCAGGAGCTCTTTGGTTTGATGTCTTCCCACCTGTGCGTCTTTGCTTTGGCTGCCTTTGCTTTGGAGTTGAGTCCAAAAGTCACTGCCTAGACCAAGGCCAGGGAGCTTCTAGCCTCTGCTTTCTGCTAGGAGATGACAATGGCTGGTGAGGAAATAGAGAAAAGTGAACCCTTGTGCACTGTTGATGGGGATGTAAATAGGTTCAGCAATGGTGAAAAACAGTGATGGTTCACAAAAAAAATTAAAACTGAACTGTCATATGATCCTGCAATTCCACTTCTGGGTGTTATCCAACGGAAGTGAAAATAGGATATTGAGAAGATATCTACACTCCCATGTTTGTTACAGCTTTATTCACATCGACCAAGTTATGGAAATAATCTAAGTGTCTGTCAACAGATGAAAGGATAAAGGAGATACCATACACACACCCACACCCACACCCCCACACCCCCACACGTACACACACACACACACACACACACAATTGGATATTATTCAGCCATTAGAAAGAAGGAAATTCTGACATTTGCAACAACATGGATGGATCTCGAGGGCATCATGCTAAGTGAGACAAGTCAGACAGAAAAAGATAAAAACTATATGATGTCACTTACTGTGAAATCTGAAGTAGTCAAACTCATAGATTCAGACAGAAGAACGGTGGTTACCAGGTTGGGTGGGAGGGGTTGGGGACATGTTGTTAAATAGGACAAGCTTTCGTCTAGAAGGCGAACAAGCCCTGGCGTCTGCTGCACAGCACAGTGATCATTGCCCCAAAGCCGATTCATGTACTTCAGAGTCGCTGAGAAGCTGGGTATCAGATGTTCTGACCACAGCAAAGAAATGATGACCCTGTGACTTGACAGTGTGTTACCCGCTGCTGCATCGCATCCCAAGGTGTAAGTGCACTAGATCAATACAGTGCAGTGCGCCGATCACATCTCAGTGAATAGTCATTTTCTCTGGAAAAAAATTCCATTCAGTAGCTTGAGCTAAGAAAAAAAAAATAGAACAAAATGAAAAAGTTGAAATAGGAATAACCTTTATGATAACAACGCCCTATAGTCCGAGCTCAATCCTCCCATTTAACAAGAGATAGGTGGGTAGGTAGGTCAGTGGATCTGCAGTTTTAGTCATAACCCTCAACAATAGAAAGACTATCAGCATGAATCTCCTTGTTAACCTGATTGTATCATGTAAACCATATGGTGCTCATTGAAACTGCACTTACGGTGCAAGAAAATCTCCTGATCTTAAATATGCTTTATGGTCCTTGTTCCCTCTGGTATATTTATTGACAATTTTCCTCATCTTTACTTGGCTCCTGGATGAGGTTTAAATTACTCCATCTGTATACCTGTTGGAAATTATGCCACAACAAATATTAATGATACACGGTCATATGCAAAAACTGAGGAAACACAGTTATTTGGTATCTGGATTTACATACTGGATTTTTACAAAGTGCACATCCAGTTCTATTTATAATTTACTACAGCAGCAAATCTCTCTCTCTTGTTCACGGAGGTCTTCAGAGTGAAGATGAGAATGTCCAACATGCCAAGTAAAATGTAGACTTTCAAACAGGAAATGAAAAGAGAGAAGTCAGTATCCTCCTGAGTTCACTCGTTTTCTGCTTCGTCCAGCAGTCACTGACCGCCCCGCTGGGCACACTGCTGCCCTCACACACCCCGGAGATGGTGCCTTGCTGCCTCCCTTGGACAGCGGGAAGGTGTTCTGGGACCCCGATGAACCGGGTGCTGCTGTGCTCCATAGGGTCCCGCACTGTCCATTCTGTACTTTCTTCTTTGTATTCGGCTCTTGAAGTGCTGGAATTTGGGTCTCAGTCACATGGGATGGGAATGTTAACAGGTTGCTGGAAGTTATTAATGATTACTTGCATTTTTAAACTGCATATGTGAGTGCCTCAGAACATCCCTGATGCTGGCTCTAGTTGCCGTCTTATGCCGCTCATCGAAGCGATGGGCTTATTTCGTTGCATGAAGCAGGTGCTGTGCAAGGGCGGCAGCTGTTTTGCATAATGTTATTCCATTGCCATAACGTGATTTAGGAGGCCATTATGATCCCATCTCTAAGGTCAATCCCATATTCCTCTGTAGAAATTGAGGGCAATGGACATTATTGTCAGAGACTGAAGTGACAGTAAACCAAATGAAATCATGATAAACTTCTCTTCATTCCATGAGTTACGAAAGGAGTAACTTCTTCTCCACTTACTTAGCAATACTCTACCTGAAAAAGTGAGCTGAGGATTCCTTGTTCACGCCCTGCTTGCTGCACATCTACACCTCCGGCCCGGCTCACGGTCTGTGCGTGCCCCTCTCTGTCTCCTTGGTCGCATGCTTGTAGTTGCCTCCAGGCTGCGGATTGGACGGAACATTTGGGCTGCTGCCCGAGGGGCTGCTGAAGGGCCAGCTGGTCTCCTGGGAGAGTGAGGGGCCTTAGCCAGGAAGAAGCCCCTCCTCCCTCTGCTTGCAGCCCAGAGCCTCCTCCCCCCGGCATGTGGGAAGGGGCCACGTGGGGAGGGGATGGTGACCCCAGGTAGCCAGACCCTCAGGGCCTCAGGCCTTGAGCCACGGAGCAGCCGAGTTCCAACATCCTGGGAGCGACTGAGTCCTGCCCGCAGTCAGGGCCCATGAGCCCAGGAGCTGCCTTTCCCAGCTGGGCCGGGGGTGACAGCAGCTCGGGGGTGTGGGGGGCCTCGTGTAGGTGCTCTGGGACCCTAGAGCAGAAAACCTGCGCATCCCCTGGAAGGGCAGACGGGCTTTGGGGCCCTCTTACCGTGGTGAAAGGACCCCCTCCTACAGACACACGCAGGTTCCCCACCTACTAGCACATCCGTGAAAACATGAGCGTGGGAAATGGGGTGTCTGTGCCGCAGATTTGTGGACAGTTTTACCCAGTAAGACAGATTATATATCTACTCTGTGTAGGCCTGTTTGTGTGGGGGCTTACTTTTCACCCCACTCAGGGGGATTTTGTGTGTCTAATTCACCCAGAGTGTCTGTTTGTAAATCATTGCTGCTCATAAAGCTACTTGTATCTTATGTTAAAGGTAGGTTGTATGTGTTGGTTTGCAGAATTGATATTCTACACCACTGATTATTTGTATATCCCTATGCAATTGCCACCTTAATTATTTTATCTTTATAATGAATTTAATATCTACAAGAGCCCTTTACCCTTATTTTCTTTCTGTTTAATAGAAGTATTTGATTGTAAGTGGGTCTTTTCTGTTCTATAAATATTTTAAAATCATGTTGTTATATTTCATTAAACCCCTGAGTTTCATTAACTCTATATATAAAGTTGAAAAAACATTTTAATATTTCTGTCCAGAACCATAGAGCATCTCTCTGGTAATGACTTTCAATTTTTTATGTTCCTTCATATATGTGTTTTTAGATTCCCTACAGCTCATTTATCTTTATGAAAATACATTGATCAGTTGGTTTCTGGTGTTTTTGATACATGGCTAACCCTAGCCAACTCACCACAATGGGGAGACAGTTCTCCAGGGCTCTGTCCTGTCTGCACATCTTAGCAGAGACATGGAGTGACTTTGTTCTGAGCTGACTTCTTCAGGATGTCTGGGTATTGGACAGACTTGCAGGGAAGAGCACGTCTTCTGCTGGGTCATCGGGTAGGTTCTTGCTGTCCAGGATGGTGAAGCTAACAAGTCTTTCAAAAGCAGAGGCTCTGCCGGTGTGCCTCCAGCTCCGCTGAGACCGGCGGCTCCCCCGTGTGCCGTTCAGCGGTGGCGCAGACCTGCAGGGTGCACAGCAGCCCTGGGCCTCTGCACTGTCTCCCTGGGGCTCAAGGATGTGGCTGGGAGGCAGGACTGCAGTGTGTTCTCACCCTGAAGCTGGAAGTCTCAGTTACATGCTGTGCAGAAAAAACGGGATGCGTTTGGGCCCAGAGCCTGTGGGCACGTTAAGTAGAGTGGCCGATAGTCCGAGGTACTCGTGGGAAAACATCCCAGAACTAAGATGGTGTGGAGGTGATGTTGGGTGCTGCTGGGAGGCAGTTCTTCCTAGTGTGTCAGACCCTCAGGTGGGCCAGTGGGAGGACTGCTGTCCCCCGTCTCCCCCCGGCACTCGGACGGGAATGTTCACAGCTGGAGCGAAATGGGAGTGATGTGATGTGTATGAAGAAATTCACTTGTTTACATTTTGTTTATAATCAGTGATAATTATTTTAATTCTCATTACAAATTTCAGTTGTGTTAGTATATAGTGTTAACATTTTAAAAATTAAACATATGTGCTTAAATGGTGTCTCTGTTAACTTTTAACTTCATTGCAGATAGCATATTCTATATAATTTTAATTAAAATTTGGTGAAATGAGCTTTATGGCCCAAAGTTTTCTTAGTTTTAATAACGGGTTGTATATGCTTGGAAAGAGTGAATTTCATGCAGTTCTTGCTGCCAGTATTTAGATAAGTCTGTCACGTAAAGCCTGTAATCATGCGGCCAACTCTTCCGTCCTTAGCGATTTGTTTACACCGCCTGATCTAGCACTTGCTCAAAGAGATTTTTTGAATATTTGCACATCATGTGGATTTGCCTTTTCACATTGTAATCCATCAACTTTTGCTGTCTATATAATGAAGTTGGTGAATTGAACAGTACATCCTCATGAAGTGGCCCATAATTCTCTTCGTTTATTAGTAACACAGCTATGCCAGCTTTCTCTTTGGTAGTGTTTGCATTATTTGTTTTTGACCCTTTTATTGCATATTAAAAATGTCACAGGTTGTGTTGTTAGCTCTGCTTCTTGTTAATAGGCTGTTGGCTTTAATGCTTTGCATAGTCTAATATTCTTTTTCCACAAGAATGTTTTGTCCATTTATGTTTTGTATGACTTTTGATAGGTTTACAGTTAAATCTGTAGCCCTGTTTTTATTCTGGACAGTTGTCTTGGTAATATTGTCTTTCTTTTCCTCTCCCTTCTTGCCTGATTTGTGGTTATTGGCTTCTTTTTTTTAGTTTAGTTGGTTTATTCAATCATTTGCCTTAGTAATTTTATTGTTGTTTTGAAAGTATTTTACAAGAAACTTGGAAAGACAACCTTGTGGCTAGGATCTGGACCATAGTAAAAGCAGATATTATTCTAAGGTAGTTTATTTTTGTCTTATTAAATGTATTTCCCAGTAGTTTAGTAATATATTGAGATGCAGACATTGGGAATAAAGTTACATGGAAACATAGTTAAGTGTGGAAAGGGACATAAAATGATTTATGCTTTGTAAACTAGTCAGAATTAGAATTTACTAAAGCTCAATTTCATGTCAATGTAAGAAAATATTTCTATCAAGTAGAGTCATCCCAGCGTGCATGGAGTTCCTCTTCACAAAGTGGCCTCTGCTTGGTGAACCACGTAGCCGTCTTAGCTGTGAAGGCGCTCGAAGGAAAACTTGCGACGTAGGGAATTTCTCATTCCTCTCAGCCTCATTGACATGAAGTCCAAACCAGTCAGTGGATATGTGCACTTGGAAAGTATAGGGAATATCGACTCCCTGGACATGATGGAACATCGTGTTAGACAGTATTAACCATTTTGGAACAGGACAGTTTAAAAAAAAATCCTCTCATGCTAAGAAAGTTGGTGCCTGTCCGAGGACATCTTGTACCCCTGAGACTTCAGTGTGTTCCCAACCTTACTTTCCCTCCAGCTTCTTTAACTTCTGCCTCGCTTATGCTGTAAAATTATCCTTCACAAGGGTGGCGAACTGATTGTTGATATGATCTAATAATGCCCTTACCCCAGTAGTCTGTGATGATATTAGCTAGAACTTTTAAATATATATATTTTTTAAAAAGTCAGAGTTTAAGTTTAGGTGTCATGACACAACTCTACGTCTTCAATTTATGAATTTTATGAGTATTTAAGTGAAAAGAAATGACTGTTATTCATTGGTGCAACTAAGTTTTGGAGCCCTAATGTTAATTATTTAACAGTAAATCCTTTCAAAATATGTCAAAATGTATTTCAGTTGGATATCAGCATAATCATTTTTAAGTGTCCCCAGCCTAGATGAAAAGAAGTTTAAAAGTAATCCTACATTTCCAAATTTCTGTATTTTGATTTAAATTTATTTTCATTGACTCAGTTCCAAAAAGTTGATCAGTAATTGAGAATATTAGATAAATCAAATGTTTGAGACTACCAGCAAACCATCCCTTCTACCAATTCTATTTTGTTTTAAAGGATAAACAAAAATGAAAGGGAATTGAATTTCTGCGGCTTTCAGCTAACTGTACTTGACTTTGTGATTTTAGACAAATCTCTACATGCTTGAATAAAATGTTCATTCTCAATTATTTACAATTCTGTGATACTATTTTGAGAGCCATTAACAGAATTCCTAAAGATTTGAATAACAGGATTCCAGAGGTTCAGTTTCTGGACAAATATTTAGCTCTCATTCAGGGAATGTATGTCCATAGATCTTAGTAAGTTTGAGTATTTTTAAAGAACATTTTATAATTGCTTCAATTGTGTACTTCTGTTTAGATATATGTATTTATGATGTATTATAATATATATTATAAGCAGGCTACTGCACTAAGGTTATCTAAATTATGGTAATAATAAAAAATAATTTTACCCATACAAAAAGAAAATCTGAGAACAGTGTCCATTCATACTAAATATTTTTCCATCCTTTTAGGTCTTTTGTCACTGTGACATATTTATGTGGCTGTTACCTTTTAACTGCCTGGGGGATATAATGCACTTGATATGACCCTAACCTACTAAGTCAAAGCTATACATGTCATGCAGATGATATGCCATTCAGAAATGATACTAAAATTTAGATTCCTATGCTTTAATGAAAGTCTCTGAGAAAGGTTGGCCATTTAATGTCTTTAAAAAGGTTCCATATAAAAGATATAATTGAATAATGTAGCTGAAATGCCAAATTTAATGTTACCACTTACATGCAAATAATAGTACATCATTAGATTTATTTTAAAACATTATAATGACTTTAGTAAAATTAGATTTTCTACAGAAAAGTAAGGTGTTTGTATTTGTGTGTGTGTGTGCGTTTCTAGCACATAAAAACTAAATGGAATCTCAAATCACAAGTCCGACTTACATATTGCCTTGGCCATCACCAAAAGGCGCTACTAAAAGAAGCATATTTGGTCTAAAAATAATGTGGAAAGCACAAGGGTTTGATATTAGGTAGATAGTGGGGGTACTTATTTGACCTTTTATGTATTAATTTCTCTTTTTAATGATAGTTGCACAGTCTTTTTGCATATATAATAATAGAACAGCTGTCTTTTCTTAAAAGTTTACTCAATAATTACTGACCTGAACATTTCATACTTAAAACTTATTTCTAATATATTCCATAAAAGGGATGTTTACCACTTCTTAAGTAACCATTGTAAAGTTTAACACTTGTTCTTTTTTTCTTGGTCCCTCCCCTCTCCCCCTCCCCCTCTCCCCCNCCCTCCCTCCCTCTCCCCCCTCTCCCCCTCCCCTCCCCCTCTCCCTCCCATCTCCCTCCCCCTCTCCCTCCCCTCTCTCCCTCCCCTCTCCCCCTCTCTTTCTTGCCTTCTCTCTGTGGGGTACAGGTAGAATAAAATAATGTGGTATTTTGCTGATAGTTTCATGAGTGCAAATAGAAAGTACAGTTGTATTTAATCCACATGCTGCTTTTGCAGTAAACCTGTGTAAGTTCTTAAGACATTCCAGGGAACAGAAAGCCAGTCATGAAAATCAGTTTTGAATGTATAGATTAGTGCTTCTCAAACTTTAGAATATATCAGAATCACCTGTAGGAGTTTAAACACAAATCGCTGGACAGTCCCTGAATGAGGTCAGAGGTCGAGTCCAAGAATTTGCTCCCTGTTGATGCTCTGATGCTGGGCTGGGAAAGATGATTTGAGAATTATTGTACAACACAGTGTCGTACCTTAGCCCTGACTGCTTGATGAACTAGGAAATACAGGTCATCACGAATGAAGAGACTTTTGGACCCAGTGCAGTTACGTGTTCAGTGAAGCTTTCTGGACATATTTCCCATTGATTTCCTGTCTATTCTAGATAAACATAAGGGACAGCAGTGGCTGCTGCACTGCCCTGCAGCTCTTCACCCACCCTTCTCTGCTGTGTTTTCTGGTAATGCAGCAGGACGTGCAGGTCCAGCCGTTCACCCCTCGTGCAGCCCCCGGGTCAGCACGCAGAGAGCCGGGGGCCTTCGCCCGGTGGCCTTGGGGCAGGTCCTCAGCTCCGGGCGCCTGGCTGGCTGGCAGGGCCTCCCCAGTACTGCGGGCCCCGCCTCAGGCAGCTGTACCCTCCCTGCTGGGCTCCCCGCCGCTCGCCTCTGCTGGGCTGACTGCGGCTTGCTGAGCCCCACGGCAGGTCCCGGGGCCCCCGGCAGGCTGCATGTGCCGCGTGGCTGCTCCCGGATGGCGCCTGTCCGAGCCCCGCGTGCCTGCCTGTCCCCGAGCCACAGCCTCACGGTGTTCGCCTCGTTGCTTGCTGCTTGTGGTCCTGCGAGGGTTCCCTTTACCACCCTTCACGGCGAGTCACCTATTTTACTGGTGATTTGTTTATTATTAAATTTTCCTCTTCAGTGAACCTGACTGATGTGTCCCGATGTGTTAAATGAACGCTTGCTTTATTGTCCCACAAGTAAACTCCCCTTGCTGGTTTCCCTGTGAGCACCCCTCTGAAGGGTCCATTGTGAGTGTGAAGGAAGTGTGTGCATAGAGTAGGCGCAGTTTAGGAAACAAACTGAAGACCATACCTTCAAAAAATGATGCAATCTGAGTGAAGACTTGTGGGAGTGTCCGGGCATCTCCTCCCCCTGCCGCGGCAGCGCGCAGCTCCGATGTCCACCCCAGCCTTCCTGCGGTGCTGCGCTGGGCTCGGGGGCCCGTGTTCATGATCCGGCGCCCCCGGGCTCTGCCGTGAGGGAGTGTGGGGGGGCCCCCGAGGTGGGGAGACCCGCCTGCCCGTCCTCCTCTGTTCCCTCCCTTCCTGCCGGTCGCCTCCTGCTCGCGGAGCCCCCTGGAGACACCAGGCTGTCTGCACCTCCTCCAAGGTCAGGCCACAGGAGCGCAGCCGCACCCCCTCCTCGGAGGCCCGCATTTCAGCGCGTGGCCCCAACGGCTGAGTGTGAGCGGTGGGGCCTTCTCAGCTTTGCTCCACCCCCCTCGGGCTGGCAGCTGCCTCCTGGGGTTGCTGTCGGTGATAAAGGAGGGTTTTATTTTTGTTGTTGTTTTGTCTTACGATCCCTGGATAGCAATTCCTTATGTAATTTTTTTTTTTTTCTGTTCAAACAACTGGTGTGGTTTCTGCCTTGTGATAGGACCTTGGTCGTAACAGAAACTGGTACTGGGACTCATTCAGGAAGCAGACCTAAAACATCAAGGGTCACTGGGGGTGGCTCTGCCCGCGCTCCAGCCCAGCACTGACCCCTGCACACTGGGTGGGGCGCTGCACCTCAGATCTTTGCCCGTTACTGACTGTCTTTAAGTCATAAGTCTGGGAAACAGGCATCCCGGGGAACCAGGCAGTGACTGCAGTCAGCTGCCAGGCCCCCCCCTGGGGTGGCTCTGCCCGCGCTCCAGCCCAGCACTGACCCCTGCACACTGGGTGGGGCGCTGCACCTCAGATCTTTGCCCGTTACTGACTGTCTTTAAGTCATAAGTCTGGGAAACAGGCATCCCGGGGAACCAGGCAGTGACTGCAGTCAGCTGCCAGGCCCCCCCCCTGCCAGGCGTCCTCTGTCCCTGGCAGCGTGCGGGGCACTTGTGGAAGGAACACGTCAGGCTGGAGGCCTGGCAGCTCACGGCAAATTACAGTCCGAGGCTTGGAGCGTGTCTGCAGTGTTCCTACACGATTCCTTCACTCTTGCAGCCCTGAGCCTAATACTGCTGGATATTTTTACATGCAATTTTACTTGTTGCAGAATTAAAACATAATTTTTACCCCCTCTCTTATCAAGTTTCATATGAAATTTAATGCTTCTTTTAGTAAGAAGTGTGACTCTCAGTCTTTGAATTAGGACATTTGGCCAGAAGCAGCTTTTCTTGTCATGTATATGCATATTCATTCCTTTGCTCAGAAATACAGTTAATCACATGGAGGGGATTTTCCATTCAGAAATCCCCATTCTCCTCAAAATCTACCCAAATACTCCTTGCTCCCATTAGACTTATAACTAGGGTTTTATCCTAGTATTTTCTGACAGAGAAAGAAATCTCTGATACAAGAAGAAATAGTTTTTATACCAAGATAATTAGGAAATTTAGCTAATTTGTCAAAAGAAAGCTGATTTGGCAAAATCCTGAGGAATATGTGTGGGAATGGATACCAAAGGTGTTATACTAGGTGAGATTGACTATAATACCAGGTGCAGCTGAATTTGTCAATATGGATGCAGCCGCCAGAAATGCTGGGTCTACTACGTCTGCTCAGCCGACCGCAGACGGCCCCAGCGGCTGGCCTGCTCGGCGCCTGCAGGTGCGGCGGGCAGGGCTCTGTGGGATGGGACAGGTGTGCCAGGTCGCATCCTGGCATCCTGCAGGGGGTGGACTCCAGAGGCCCCGTGAGACAGGAATTCTGCAGTCTGTTTATTACGTGTACCCCACATACAGCCTTCACCTGCCGCACCTCACAGGGGGCTTTGAGGACTTCCCGTGCACCCCCTCAGCGAGGCAAGTATCCGCCTCCCTGCCAAGCATTGATGTGGCTCTGCTTTGTGGCCAGAGGTGTGACGTAGGAGGTGCTGCCAATCATAAGGGCTCCCCAGTGTCAGGGAAGATGACAGGGTCCGGCTGGCAGAGGCCGCTGCATCTCTTAGCTTCCTACAGCACAGTGGTAGTGGCTGTAGGGGCAGCTGAGGGAATCTGGTGACTAGAGCCCTCTGATGCACTGGCTTACCATTAAGGCTGACTGGTCTCTGCATCTGTAGGAAGAAAATAGGTTAGCATCGACTAAAATGTCACCAGTTATATGAAATAATCCAGGACTAATGAACAGAGACCCAGTTTCAGTTGCCCAAATGGATATTCTGTGTTTCTTACCATGCTTCCAGATGTCTTGATACAAGGGAAACGGAGTCTCCTTTACTTCTGCAAGTATTCATTGCAGTGACCTGTGTCTTTTTCTGGAGTGGTTCTGTGCTGGGCCAAGAAATACACAGAGCTTTTGCCTATGTTTTCTTTTAAGAGCTTTATGCTCTCATGTCTTGCAGCTAGGTCTTTAAACCATTTCAAGCTTACTTTTATATATGGAGTTAGACTGCAATCCAGTTTCATTTTCTTGCATGTAGCTGTTGATTTTTCCAAATACCAGTTATTGAAGAAACTAATTTTTCCCCACTGTATATTCATGATGCCTTTATCATTTATTGAATGATGATATATGTGTGGGTTTATATCTGGACTCTTTTTTGTATTCCATTAATCTATGGGTTGTTCTTGTGCCAGAACCATACTGTTTTGATTACTGTAGTTTTGTAGTATAGCTTGAAGTCAGGGAGTATAATACCCTCAGCTGTGTTCTTTCTCAGGATTGCTTTGGCTATTCATGGTCTTTGGGGATCCTTTTAGGATTATTTGTTCAAGTTCATTCAAAATACTGTTAGTATTTTGATAGGGATTGCATTGAATCTGTAAATTTCTTTGGGCAGGATGGCCATTTTGCCAACATTAATTCTTCCTATCCACAGACACGGATAGGTTTCCATTTATTTGTGTTGTCTTTAATTCTTCTCATGAGTGTCTCAACAGTTTTCAGAGTACAGGTCTTTCACCTCCTTGGTTAGGTTTATTCCTAGGTTTTTTGTTCTTTTAGAAGCAACTGTAAATGGAATTGTTTCCTCATTCCACTTTCTGCTAGTTCATTGTTAGTATATAGGAATGCAGCAGATTTCTGCATAGTAATTTTGTATTGCAACTTTGCTGAATTCAGTTATTAGTTCTAGTAGTTTCTTGGTGGAGTCTTTAGGGTTTTCTATGTATAATATCATGTCATCTGCAAATAGTGACAGTTTTACTTCCTCCTCCATTTGGATGCCTTTTTACTTGTCTGATTGCCGAGGCTGGGACCTCCAGTATTATGTTGACTAAAAGTCATGAGAATGGGCATCCTGTCTTGTTCCTAATCTTAGAGGAGAATCTTCAGCTTTTTGCCATTGAGTATTTTGCTAGGTGTGGGTTTGTCTTAAATGGCCTTTATTATGTTGGGGTATGGTCCCTCTGTACCCATTTTGTTGATAGTTCTTATCCTGAATGGATGTTGAATTTTGTCAAATGCTTTTGCAGCACCTATTGAAATTATCATATGGTTTTTATCTTTCCATTTGTTAATGTGGTGTGTCACATCAATTTACAAATACTGTACCATTCTTGAATCCCTGGAATAAATCCCGCTTGGTCATGATAGATGTTCTTTTTGATGTATTTTTGAATTTGGTTTCCTAATATTTTGTTGAGGATTTCTGCATCTATATGTTCATCAGGGATATTGATCTTTAATTTTCTTTCTTGGAGTGTCTTTGGTTTCCGTAATAGAGTGACGCTGGCCTCATAGAATGAATTTGGAAGTATTCCTTCCTCTTCTACTTTTTAGAATACTTTAAGAAAGATGGGTATTAGCTTCTCATTAAGTATTTGGTAGAATTCAGCTGCGAAGCTATCAGGTTCTAGGTTTTTGTTTGTTGAGCATTTTTTGATTACCAATTGGTCTAGTGATTGATCTGTTCAGAGTTTCTATTTCTTCCTGGGTCAGTCTTGGAAGATTGTATATTTCTTGGAATTTGGCCATTTGTTTTTTGGTTGAAAAATTCTTTGAATTTCTGTGGTGTCAGTTATAACTTCTTTTTTATTTCTGATTTGTTTATTTGTGTTCTCTTTTTTTCTTGATGAGTCTGTTTGGGTGTCTCTCCATTTTATTTTTCACAAAGAACCAGGTTTTGATTTTATTGAGCTTTTTTCTATTTTATTCTTCTCTGTTTTTTTTCTGCTCTTGTATTTGTTATATTATGTCCCTCCTACTAACTTTGGTTCTCATTTTCTAGTTTCCCTAGTAGTGAGTTTAGACTGTTTATTTGGGATTATTCTCGTTTCTTAAGGTAAGCCTGTAGAGCCTTGTACTTCTTTCTTAGAACTGCTTTTGTGGTGTTCCTCATATTTTGAGCTGTAGTATTTTTGTTTTGTCTCTGTGTAGTGCTTGATTTCCTCTTTAGTTTGTTCATTGATACATTGATTGTTTAGAAGCATGTGGCTTAGCCTCCTTGTGTTTGTGTTTTTTTTTGTTTTCTTTGTGTTTTGTACAAAGAAAACAAAATTTCTCAAATATATTTAATCAATTCATTTCTACTTTCTAGTTTCATACCATTGTGATCTGAAAAGATGTTTGAAAAAATTCCAATTCTTTTGAATTTTTGAGGTTCTTTCTGTGTCCTAATAAGTGTTTTATTCTGGAGAACGTTCCATGTACACTTGAGAAAACTGTATCCTGCTTCTTTTGGGTGGAATGTTCTGTAGATATCTGTTAATTTTGGTCTAATGTATTGTTCAGTGCCTCTGTTTCCTTGTTTATTTTCTGTCTGGTTGATCTGTCCATTGATGTGAGTGGGGTGTTAAAGTCCCCTAACATGACGACTTGATATTTCCTCCTTTAGTTCTGTTAGTATCTGTTTCACGTATGGGTGCTCCTATGTTGGGTGCATGGATATTTGTAATAATGGTTATATCCTCTTGTTGGACTGACCCCTTTATCATCATGTAATGTCCTTTGGCCCTTGTTACTTTCTTTGTTTTGAAATCTACTTTGTCCGATACAAGTACTGTTACTCTTGCTTTTTTCTCCCTTTTATTTACATAAAATATCTTCTTCCATCCCTTCACTTCTAGTCCATGTGTGTCTTTACATCTGAAATGAGTCTCTTGTAGGCAGCATGTAAATGGGTCTTGTTTCTTTATCCATTCTGCCACCACATGTCTTCTGATTGGTGCATTTATTCCATTCACATTTAAGGTAATTAGTGATAGGTGTGCTTATTGCCATTTTAGCAATTGTTCTCTGGTTGTTTTTGTAGTCCCTGCTGATTCTTTCTTCATTTCTTGCACTCTTGTTA